GCCTATTTATTACATCACGGCAGAACAGAACACAATATTATCCCTTCCCACCGGGACTTAATTTCTGATTTCATTTGGTGTACAAAGGCTTGCGTAAGGTGAATGCTGTCTTGTGGGTTATGTTAAAACATTAGGGGATAAATAGTCATTTTACTTTTTGTACTTGGTAGAAAGTCAAACGTTTGCTCAATACTCCATGTGGAAAATATGACAAGAGCTGAGTTATTTGGCTCCACTAAACAATTTCTGTCTTTTTGAATACAATGTTGTCTATGGAACTGGATTCCTATCCAAATGTTTGCACAATAATGCTGACTTTTGAGAATCAGTTTAACTAAAGCATCAATGTTTATCTTTCCTGTGAGTGGACAAGAAATGCTGAGGCCGAAGTAAATTAACAGAAATCAATTCAGCATGGCAGAGGACTATGTGGGCAACTGTTCCACTGCCAAGCCAATTGAAGAGGCCCCTGAAGTTATTGAATATTGTCAATATTGAAAACTTGTGTTGATCTATTTTTCCAGGAACAACTGGCAATGAGTCTATTTTACAACAGTGGCAGGTACAAGTGATCCATTTGTGAAAGTGCAACATTTTGCGAGATTGGCTATAAATGTAGGCCCTTGTCTGTAATGAGTTGTAACTTAATCTTTCTCATAGCTCAGGGAAGTTGGAAAAATTATTGCTCTTACTGCAAAATTTGTCTGCTTATTTATCTGTTTTATATAAATAAATTACTGATCTGACCCAAAGTCAGGTGAACTTCTTGAAAGCTACCCTTCCTCTGCCAGAACCAGGTAGGTGCTCATGTGGCTCCTGGGTAAAATACTGCTGCCAGTATGATATGGTCTGAGAGTTCCCTAAATATTAGCTCAACATGTACCATGAAGACTGGGTTCTTCTTGAGCCATATCTCTTGAAATTTATTAACATCACCGACTATTTTCACTGCAATAAGATCTCAGACTTTCAAATAGCCTGTGCTCTGTGCTTATTGACAACATACAGCGAAGATACAGTAACTGCAAGCGTGTTAATACTGTTACTACTGTTGCTACTGGAAGCAAACATTGATATTGGAACATCGCATGTCATCTAACTAAAAGGTACCCTGCCTGTCTGGTCTGTGATCTAGGCAATAACACAAAAGCCATGGTACCCCACTCCCACCCAGCCAATATTATGCCCCTCTCCACCTCCCAACACATCAGGTGGGGATGGGGGTGTATGGTGTAAAATTCAAGTCTATATTTCTGTTCCCTATACTCGAGACATTAAAGACAACAATGGCACCAATTGAAATCTGATTTAACCACTGATCTTCCTGGTCTATATTATTCAGTTACTCACTGCATACATATTCTGAGTAATCAAGCTTATACCTTATGAAACTGTTTAAGAAGGTATTAGATTATCATATGATTTATGGTGCACATAGTCATGTAACTTTATTACACGCACTGGTATTTAAGATCTATTTATATCAACAAACTGCAGCAACTCCATACAGGACAGAAGAACTGATACTCTGATGACACATGTTGCCTGGGTTGAGATGTAAATCTCGATCACTTTTTTTTATCATCCTAGCCCTAGATTCAACCCAAAAAAGAAACTTACATCAGGAGGATAAGTTTCAGAACTCTAGGCTAGATTCTACATTGAGGTAAATTTGTTAGAGTAGCAGAGGAATTAACTCTTTTGAAGCTTCCAAGATCTAATTAGGAAAACAAGAAGGGGAGGCCATTCAGCCCCTCAAATATATTCTACCAATTAATTATATTAGTGTATGATCTGTATATATTCTTTCATGTGATATGGGAATCACTGGCAAAGTCAGCATTTATTGCCCATCCATAATTACCCCTTGAACTTAGTGACCAGCTACTAGGCTAGTTCAGATGTCAGTACAGAGTTAAACACATTGCCGTGAGTTTGAAGTCACATGTAGGCCAGATGATAGAAGGATAACAGTTGTCATAGTTACCGTTATTGAGGGTAGCTTTATATTCCAGATTTATTCATTAAATTCCACAGACTAGAATGTACCTACTACAAATGAGTTGTAACAATTCAAGAAGGCAGTTTAATACCACCTTCTCAAGGGCAATGAGTGATGAGCACAGTGAAGTTCACATTCCATGGATGAATGAAAAAATTAAAAAAAATAAAATCCCTCCAACTGTCAAGGTGGGATTTTAACCCAGATCCCAGACCATTAGCATAGATCTACGTATTATTAGTCCTGTGATATTATCTCTATGGCACTGTCTCCCCATTAAAAATATTTTCATTCCACCTGCTTACTTCTTCCCGAAGTGCTTGCCAACAATCCATTTGTCCCAGTTTTGATAGTCTCAGTTGGACTAGCCTGACTTTGTATGCCATTTGATCCAGTAATCTTACTGGTAGTCTCCAAGGCACTGGTGTTGGAAATTCAAATTACTTTGGAAGTGCCCGTTCCTGTGCTGGTGAGCAGAGATTCTTTTTGGGACATAGTGCAAGTGCTATCAGAATGCCTTCACCATTCACTTCTGCATCTGGCTTCAGGGGCCACCATTACTTTTAACGTAGAATTAACTAACAGTAGAGAAACATGTCATTCAACTGAATTGGCTATATGAATCTGCAATCGTACCTTTTCAGCTAAATTAATCCATAGATACTTCTATTCTTGCTCCTTCATGTACTTGCTTCCCATTAAACCTATGCTATCTTCCTCAACTACTTCTTGTGGTTGAAAATTCCACATTTTTGTCACACTCTGCGTAAACATGTTTCTCCTTAATTTGGTATTATTGGTAACCATCTTACGTTTGCAATCCTAATTTTGGATTCCCACCAAGATGAAAAGGTCCACTTTATCAGACCCTCTCCTTGTCTTAACAACTCAGTTGTAGAACCATCTATTGCTGTCTGTATGGGCTCTGATGGTTAGAATCATGGATATTTATAAATCTTTCTTTGAACTAATAGATCAGCTACAGCACTACCATCTGTTCTTGATTAACCATAAAGCGTTTTACAGATGAGCGAGAGTGCAGGTAATTGTGGGTGATCTGTATTTTTTTGTTTTTGAAAATGTTTAGCAAAATGTTTCCTCCTGCAAGCCTGTTTATCAAGCCATCACTGCATTCAACATAATGTCGGATAGCTTAGAGCGACTCTGCTGCTCTGAAACCTGAACCCAGTATTATCAATGTGTAATCATGGCCTTCTATTCATCTTCATGGTTACTCACAGTAGTTCGGAATGCGCTACATCAAACGAGGCAAATTTTAATCCAGTTTAAAATAGGAATGGCAGCTGTTAGAATGAATGTGATAATTCTGGTAGTGAAACACTGTGTTGGTTTCCAACATTAACGAGTATCTCACTGTGGGATTTTCAATATTTCTGAAGTGTAGAAGATCCAGTAGTATAAAAAAGTGAGGGCACAAGGAGTTTCAGGGAGACCAAAAAGGTGTCAAGGGAACTGGCACTAGTTCAGCTTTTTTATTTCTTCATTTTGGACTCCATGCCTGTCATCAGAACGTACACCAAGGCAAACATCAACTGTGCCTGGAGGGCCATCAACTCAATGAAATACGCTCTTTGGTCTGCCCGAAACCTGCTGGTCTTCCAGTGCAAAGAGTTAGCCCCAACTGAGTGGTGCAGACTGGCACATTCCAAGATCCAGGATTACATGCTGAGGGATGCACTAAAGCTTGGGACACCTGCTGCCAAGGCGCAGCGGGGAAAGACCACTGTCTGGAGTCTTCCTGCTGAAGTTAAATGGAGGTTCATTCAATTAACGGACAATCCTAGTGCCTTAAATGTATGTATATATAGTCTGGTTCAAGTAAGAGATGCCTTTGATTTGTCTAGATAGAGATAAATTTTCATTTAGGAGGAAAATTACTGCAGTTGCTGGCATCTGTCGTGAAAACAACAAATGCTAGAGATCACAGCGGGTCAGACAGCATCCATGGTGACAGAGCAAGCTAACATTTTGAATCTAATGACCTTTTGAAGAGTCATCTAAACTTGAAACGTTAGCTTGCTCTCTCTCCATGGATGTTGCCTTCCCCACTGTGATCTCCAGCATCCAATATTTGTTTGTTTCCCTTATATGCTACTATACAAAACCGAACTGTGTTTGTGACTATGTACACACATAAAGATTTTTTTTATGAATAAAGTATATTTTAAAACAAAAAAGAAATTCAGATTAGCTTCCTTCAGGTTAAGAATGGGAAAAAAAATCTGTCTTGAAAAGTCAAGGAGAAACATGAAGCAAAAATATGGCTGTGATGCTGCAAAACTAACTATAAGTCTACTTCTTTGTGATTTTTAGTTCTCAAAGAAATAGTGGACGTTTTAGTTGGAAACATGGCCACCAATGTGTGCACAGGTGGGACAGCAAGACACAAAAGACAAGTCTATTTGTTTCAGTGCTGTTGTTTGAGGGATATACAATCGCTAGCGCATTTTCGAGTACTTGGCTGCTTTGAAAGGCAGTATAAGATGTTTTCTGTCCAGCCAACAGGGAAGACAGCCTCTCCAACATGCGTTAATCTTGATTACGTTGTCTAGTCACTGGAGTAGAACATTCTAGGTGTTGTGACTGCTATTACTCAGGTTTCAAAGATGGCTGTTCCTTATGAAACCAGAGACAATCAAGAATCATGTTCCAATGGCAGTGACTCATATTGAATATGAGCAGTCTGCACAGACCTTTCTTTCATCATCGTTGTTCAGTTGTTCAACTGGTATCATTTCCTCCACCCTGCCGTCATGTACTCAAAGCTTTGCAACAGAGGTCAGTGGCAAAATCCTAGACTGAGTATTCACTTTGCAAAACCAGGCAACTGAAAACATTTTAACTGCACTCAATGCCATTCTAGACTGAATCATTTTACAAAGCGTGAAAATTGACCTGATAATTTTCCAGTCCTATCTGGCTTCTTGCCTCAAGACGTAGCATATTTGCAATGAATAATGCATAAAGGAATGTTTCAGGGCATTAGTGTAAAATGAAAGCAGATTAAAGTTTCCATCTAATGCAATTAAGTCAGCCAAATGTTCACATGCAATACATGGTCTCTCACCAGTAATTTTGTAGGTTGGCTAGTCTAGATCAAGTCTGTGGCACGTCCAAATCAAGATACTTTACATCTGTCTGATCACACTTCAGGTATGCCATCTGATGATATGCCAGTTCTTTGTAATTTCTTCCACACTTCCTTTTCCAAAGTTCCCTTCTCAGTTAATATATTTGGAAATTCACATTTAGTGACGGTTAATCAGTGTTGCCATTAATTGTCCACTTTCAATTTTCTAGCTGGAATCTCCAATGGAAAATTTTCATCTGTGGCCAAGTGGAAAAAGGAAGAAGTGCCTGGGCCAAGGTGAGTAGGATGCAGGGCTCTCTTTAACTGCATTGCAATGTTGGACAAACTGATTCTTAACAGAGCTGCTGAGTGTCAGGATTCAAGAAATATTGATCTCTGGCACATAACTCTTAAACTAAAAAAACATTGCTTTTAAGAGAAATAATTTGTGATTAATAAGGGCAAGGAAAGAATAGATTACAAATGCATTTTTTCAAAAAAGAAAAATAATCAGGACGTGATTTGAACCTTTTTTCAAAGGGTCAACGCTGTGATGGAAGTGAGTCCAAAAACAAGATTGGGGAGGCGGACTTAAGCTTTATGCCCTTGAATACTTTGCCCAAGGAGTAAGAAAAGATTGAGCAAGTGAGGGAATGGTGCCCAATGCTTTGTTTACATTCCACTCTTGAGCATTGTTTGTGCTAAAGGGTACACAGGCAGCAACATGTTTGCAGGAGTGACTTGAAGCACGTACTATAGTTATATGCCCGTCCCAGAACATGTTATCCATTTCAGATGTGGAAATGTTATGTGTACTTGTGGTTTAGAATGTTTCTTCACTAATGTCACAATTCTATTTTGGAAGCTGCGAACTGTGCATGATATCAGACTTTAGCCGATCAGAGTGGCAGCAAGTCCAGATTAAACTCTCACAGTAACTGGGTGCAATATAGTTAACCCTTTCTTTCCTGCCCCAGCCATACTGAGTTTCATTATTTTCTTTGTTTCGAAATGCTGCTGATATCTTTTGTCTGTTCCAACTTTCTCACCGATGATGGAAGTACTGAAGTGTTAGGGTTGAGAAAGAGACCACCTGTCTGGGGGCAGCGTGGTGGCACAGTGGTTAGTGCTGCTGCCTGAGCGCCAGAGACCCGAGTTCCATTCCACTCTCTGTGTGAAGTTTGCACATTCTCCCTGTGTCTGTGTGGGTTTCTTCTGGGTGCTCCGGTTTCCTCCTGCAGTCCAAACATGAGCAGGCTAGGTGGATTGGCCATCCTAAATTGCCCATAGCGTTCAGGGATGTGCAGGCTGGTTTCAGGGATAGGGTAGGATGGTGGATCTGAGTGGGATGCTCTTAAGAGGGTTGGTATGGACTCAATGCTTCTGTTTTTCTCCCCATACCCTTGTACATTATTTTCACCCAAATAATTATCCAATGGTCTCTTGAATACCTCAATTGAGCCTACCTCCACCACACTCCCAGGCAGTGAAGCCCATATGCTAACACAATCTTTGAATCTACTGACTAAATAATCTACTGACAATTCTTGATCATTTTCAGCCCCGATCACCTCAATTTTGATTTTCTTCCCCAAAGCTGCCTTCCCGACATTTCGCCCAAGGGGTAATTCTTTCTTTGCGGGATTGCAAAGTGAGCATCAGCACTCGATTTAACTGTGAAGTGTACCCCTGGCCAGGTTTCTCAGTCACCTTCCACAGGATACCACTCAGATCCAGGGCAATCCCGCCTGGATCTTTGACCCCATTCCCTTGTCATGGCCATGGATCAGAGCCCTGGAACACCTGCGCACCTTTCATTTAAATGTTAAACTTCAATCAGAACATGTTAATTTTTAAAAAGGAGATGCAGCCAAACATTTACTGCAGCTGTAAATTCAGTAGCTTCCTGGAGAGGGGGAACGAGAGAGAGAGAGAGAGGGAGAGAGGGAGAAAGACAGAGAGAGAAAGAGACTCTGGTATCTTACACCTGATAAAGTATCGAAGGAGCTTCAAAGAGAAAAAGTTTACTATGTGAACTGAACTTGTAAACACCTGGCAGTATTTCAAATTGTAAACATGGTGGTTTAAAAAGAGACAGACTGGATAAGAGATATTTGTGGTTCCCTCCTCCCTCACCCACTTTTCATGGGAGCAAAGGTTAAAAGCAAGTTTTAACCCAGGCCTGTGTACACTAATGCATTGACGTCTTACTGTGTGACTTCCGGTGTGTTGTGAGGGTCACGGCTACAATAAGGACCATTTATACACCCCTGCACTGCTGGTAAGTAAGAGAGAGAGAGTGTTTCTCACTCTGAGTGCTGCCAATCATCCACTATTGAAAGGAATCAGTACCATTTACTGCACTGGTCACACTGTTCAACTATTTCCTTTTCATTAATGATTCAGGCTCTAATTTAACTTTTGCTACTTCAATCATTTTTGGACGCACTTCTTGTTTCTGATCTTTTTCTTGTGTGTTGTGTTTCAACTTCCTCTTGCATTTAGTAAGAAAGGAGGGGTAGGAAAACAATGGAGATCAAACCCATAACACAGATCAACCACTAAAGTCAGATCTACCCAGAAATGATGGCAATACAGGCGCAGGAAGAGACAATGTCTGTGATTTGCCCCTCCGAGAAGTGGGGAGAAGGGAAATTAATTGTGTGAGTTTGCCCTGGACAAAAACTCAGCCACTACTTATAACCTTTAGGATCAAATGCTGAGCAAGAAGGCTTCTGGTCTACCATCTCAACTTGCCAGTAAGTGAACCCTTAAGTCACCAATTTCTGGCCATTTCATTGATTTGATTTGATTTAAGTTTATTATCATGTGCAGAACTAAAGGAGTACAGTGAAAAATATATAATATCCCCACACACGTCACCATACGAAGGTACCTAGGTTAAAAACCTAAGTACAAGTAGTAACATAGAGAAACAAAGTTAAAAGTAAAACATTACCATCATTCTTAGTATAAGTAGAAAAATAAAGAACTAAAGTTAGAAGTTAACATTATAGTCCTCCTAGTATTAAGGAAAGAAAAGAAACAAAGAAAGCAGATGGAGGCGGACGAGCCCCGGACCAGGAGGTAAAGTGCAGCACTGTTACTCCACCGCGCCATCTTGGTAACCTTGGTAAGGGCCTCAATTCACCACCTCCCCAGTCACCTATGTCTCCAGCCGATGACAAAGGTGGCTTGTTTCCTGACTGGGAAACCATAGCCACATATCTACCAATTTGTCAGGGATGGGGCCTCTAAATGCGCCAATTCGGGTGGCAATCAGATGCCTTGTGTGGGGTCAAGGGGGTAACTTCTGAAAACTAGTTTCCTGTCCTGACCTCTGACCCTCCAACTCTTCTCACCACTGAATCATATGGACTTTGAGGGCCAAGTGGCCCCGGAAGATGAGAGGTCATTGTGGAGAAGCTGGAGCAAGAGCAAGTGTGATATCATCAGACACTATCTGGAACATCAACAATCAGTCATAAAGTTATGAAACTCAGAATATATTACAACAATAGTGGTACAAATTGCAAGGTGCCCTGAATCTATCCAGACACAAGCCCCTCACTTTCAACATCACAAAAGCTGATTCCATTCTTATCCTTGATAACAAGGTGCAGAGCTGAATGAACACAGCAGGCCAAGCAGCATCAGAGGAGCAGGAAGGCTGACATTTTTTCTGAAGAAGGGTCTAGGCCCAAAACGTCAGCCTTTCTGCT